GCCATGCTAATCTTCTCTGTATCGTTCCAATTTTAACGGATGTCCCGAAATATTTCTTCTTCCTCTTCTTCTTCTCCTTCCTTTCAAAATTTTGATATGGGACTATAGTGGGCTTCGACGTCTGTACTACTCTGTAGCATGGTGGCGTATTTTTGGCGGCGGGCAGCCAGCGCCCAAGTGGGCTCTTAGGGGTTAGAAATTTTCGGGGGATTGGTCCTTGGCGATATTGCGGATGCCCTACATCTAGCTCTTCTAGAACCAGGACTTTTGGAAAAAGGAACGACTGGTCGTCAGGTGGAAGTGGACACCAAAAAGAAGTAAGAAGAGGAGGCGTTGTTGGGACTCCCAGACGCAGGCAATTTGCAAGAGGCAACTTTGCTGATTTTTTGTGCTCAGAAAAATTCGGAGAAAAATCTGAAAATATAAGAGTAGGTAGATTAGCTTCTGGTCTTTCCAGGAAAAAATCAGGAAAAAACAAAATAAAATCATTAAGACATTGAGCATGGGATCAACCTTGGTGTTGGTTATCGTCAGCAGATATGGAGTTCGGCATGCCTTTCATTGTAACAAATGGGGCTTGTCTGAGGGAGCTGTGCGCTGATAGCCCGCCCCGACGACCGCGCCCAGCCCCCTTCCCTTACAGAACGGGTCAAGAACGAGTCTGCCAGTGGGACATGCAGGAAGCCTCGGGACGAATTGCAGAGGACCAGATTCTGGTCCCTCTCTATCCATGAGGACGATCTGAGATGGATCCATTCACATACTGTAGAGAATGATAGTGAATACAACAGCTCCCCGATACCGCAAGAAGAAGCATCTCGCGCTTCATTGCCAGCCGGCAAGCCGGTTACCCCTAGTAAAGTCGCAAAACAATCAATGAACACTGCACCACCATCAGTGACAACTCCTTTTTTTTTTTTTTTTTTTTTTCAATTGGGGGAGGGTTGTGGAGAGAACGACCATTGCAAGTGTCACACCATACAGAAAGATCACCTTGCGCTACCCAANATCTTTTCAATTGGGGGAGGGTTGTGGAGAGAACGACCATTGCAAGTGTCACACCATACAGAAAGATCACCTTGCGCTACCCAATCTAGCATTATTTTCATGGCCAATCTTCCCACCATGACCATTAAGTTCCTCCAACCGGTGACAACTTTTTTCAAACTGATGTCCTTCATCCCCATCAATTCTCTCAGTGTCCTCTTAGTGTACAGTATGTACTCCAATTTGTCCGACTACCCAGTCCCACTCCTCCCTCGCTTGGGTGGGTGAAACTCTCTTCCCGACTCTTCTGCCACCATCGAGCAGCATGGCGGTGCAGCGACGGCCTCCCTTGCCATTCGCCTTCCTATGCTATGCCACGTACTCCTATTGTAAGAGAAGTTCAACTGTTGCATCATCTTTGAAAAAAAATTGACGACTCTGAATACTTTTGTTATGACTTTATGTGCATCACACACACATATTACGATTCTTGGTACGCTAAAAAAAAAAAGAAAAAAAGAAGAAAAGAAAAACAAACGATTCTTGGTACACTATGGGTGCTGCTAGCCATTGGTGTGCAGAAGCATGTAAGAATAGAGGCACTGCCCATCCCTCTCGTAGTTCATCTCAATTCTCTCCCCCACATGCTTCGCCTGAAAAACTCTTGGTGCCTGCGATTTCTCGCACAACTTCTTTTGTTACCCAAGATCCTCAACCCCTTCGTCCTCCCTGCTTGCCCCGGCATTCCCACACAAATACTCAACAGTCTCTCCTTCTTGCCTTTTTTTTTTTTTTTTTTTTTAAGAAACACCCCCACCAGTGTTAGTGCTGCTGATAAGAGCAGACACCACTAACACCTGGGGAGAGGCTCCATATATTGGTGGGGAGCGTCACCTGCTGGAAAACGGGTCCAGCGTCCCATATACAGAAAAAAGAACGTCTGAGAAAGGTGAGAACAGTGACTGTGGGGCCTGCCAGCATTGATTGCCCTGCAAACCAGGGGATTGACTGAGCAGGCCTATATAGTGACCAGCGGTGTAGTCATGTGTGAGCTTGGAGAGCTGTCATTGCCTTTTGTACCTCTTCACCCTCAAAAGAAGGGCGCCAGATAAGCAGTTAAGGGCTGATACTATTCAGAAAGACTACTCACTCCAAACCATGCCCAATGGCACAGATTGTTCAGGATACTCAGACCGCCAGCATTGACTACCCCAACTGATCATACAAAAAAATGAACATTAGTGGAGTCCTCCCCAGGGGGCTCCAGGGAGGGGTTCGACAAGTGGAACACCTATAAGGATGTAAAGGAGACCAGGTTAGCAGCATCACATTCAGGAGTCAGGAAAAAATCTCTGCCAGAGACAGGGCGTGAGGTGGGAAGGGATCTGGAAAATCCAAGGGGGGGCGTAGTGGGAACGGGGGTTCTATGTTAGTCCAGTCCTTGAAAACTAGACGGTAGTCTCTCATTTCTTCCAAATCGCGCGGCTTTCTCCCCTGTCACCACTCATTCTACTTTTGCAATCCATCCTTCTCTTTCCCCTCCTACCCAGTCTGTGCAGAATGCCGTAATCCGTCTCCTAATGTCTCCAATTTGTCTGAAGAGGTCTAATTGTGATTTTGTGTCCAACCATCTCCGTGTGAGTTCAAGGTGGACCTGCTGCTGAATCTGTTCTGTAATCTCTGACCCCTCCACCCGTACCTTCTCCATGGCCAGGGTGCATCTTTGCCACCAAAGTGCCCATATCACCGCCCTCCTTCCCAATCTGTACATGTTCCCTTCGAAGATCGTGGCTGTTCCTGCCAGCGGCCAATGTCCAGCCAATATGGCTTGCCATGACCATGTTGCTTCTTCCTTAACTCCTCTTTCGGCTCTTCTTTTCCCTCTCTCCCTCCCTCCCTCTCTCCTTTGAAATGAGGTGATTGCATACATTCCGGGAGAAGGCCATAATTTACGTAATTCAGTGCTTCTTCTATAACTCCTCTTTCGACTCTTCTTTTCCCGACCTCCCTCTCTCCTTCTCTCCCCTTATTGCCCAGAAACGGAGTACGATGGATTGTTGCACGAGGAGTGGCTACGTCCCCCATGCCCCTATCTGGTCATGCAGTGCAGATGGCACTTCCTCCCTCGCTCTCCCGTCTCCTCTCCCTTGTCTTCATTGCTCAACCGTAAGCGTTGCAAGCACAAATTTCACTCTTCTCTTCTTTTTGCGAACTTGACGTGAAAGCAAGTCGCAGCCGCATGCTCGCTAACCGGGCAAGCAGAATGGGTGTTGGTGGATGGGAAAGTCGTCGTGTGCTGATGCCATTTGAGCAGAGTTGATGAGTTCGCTGCAATGGACTGCAGGGACTTGTGCAAATCCTCCATGTGGATCGGGTTAAGCAGGGTGACGGTCTTTGAGTGTAAGACTTGGCACATGTTGCCGAACTGTTGGCATTCACTTCCCCTTTCCTGAATAACTGTGTCTAAGTTTTGTGTGATTGGAAGATCACATGCGTATGTGTGTGTACACTGCCATGTGTGCAATAAATCTGACGGTTCTCTGTCTGCTTCTTGGTCTATTGATGCATGTTATCCCTCTATGATTGGGTGCAGTTGATCGGACGCCCAACGCTTACACAAATTAGGAGTTCCTTTGCGTGAAGCATCTGAATTGAGGCTGACGGGATGATGTTTGCCCAACAGACGTGGCAACAGTTCATCCATCTGTGGTTTTGCACCCCCGGGTTCTGATGGTGGCTCGCCGCCCTTCACCTTTCATGATCAAAGGTAGCCTGTGTGAATGGTATGTTTAGAGAGGCCTCCACTTGGAACTATTCAAGCCCTACACTATTCCCAATGAAACACATTGTTCGGCAACCGCTGTCCGGTCGGGTCACCCCCTTCAAGATGACAGGAGGGTGATAACTGAGGGGTAGACACTGAGGTCGGGTCACCCCCTTCAAGATGACAGGAGGGTGATAATCCTGAGGGGTAGACACTGAGGTAGGATTGTGGGAGTGGGGGTGTGGCAGGGAGAAATGATGAGAGGGGGTGGCGGGAGGGAGTCATAAGGAATGGGCCCCTCTGTAGACCATCTTGATAACCTGATGGTCGACTACGGAAGGTGACTGTCATAGTCTGACTT